CTGTCACCTGGAGTGCTTGCTCAGGCCATCTGGTCACCAGGATCTGCCCCATGTCCCCTCTGGGTGGGGGTCATACCTTCTCCCTCTGTCAGCCCTGGTGATTCTGTCATCGCAGGAAACTTGCAGCCACACCAGGAGCTCCTGTGTCCTGGGGCCGCCCGCTGCAGACCCTGCCTCCGCCAGGGGGTCGGGGATGTCATCGTCGGGAGTGGGAGCTCGGGGCAGGGCTTGCCTGCTCTGGGGCCTGGGGTGGGTGACCCTCTCTAAGGACCCAGAGCCACAATTTCAAGGGAGGGGATTCACATCCAGGCTCCATGTGTACCCCATCCTGGCAGCAGCCCCCAGCGTCATTTTTGGCCCTCCAGGTGGCAGGCCACAGTGTTTCTCGCCCAGTTGCTTTCCGCTGTGTGACTGGCTCCTGAGCCCAGTTAGCCGGGTGCTCACCGTGTCCTGTCCTGGCGGGGGTGTTGACGGGAAGGGCTGACCCAGTACAACAGCCCCATCCGTCCTCCCTGCCACCCTGTGCCATCTGCTCTCACGAAGGTTGCTTAACTTGGCCCTGAGGGCATTAGGACGATGACAGGCTCCCAGCCCCGTGTGACAAGGATGAAATGAAAGTGTGAAATGGAGCTGGGGAGGGGGCAGTCACATCATGGCCTCCAGGTGTGATGGAGAGGAACTGCCCGAGAGGTGCAGGCATTGCTGCTGGTGCACCTCCTCTGCCCAGAGGAGCAGCTCCTCATGGGCCGTTCGCCCCTGCAGTGGGCCCAGGTGGCCGTCCACATGTCGCCTCGTGTCTTGGCACCGCGGGCCTGACTGCTCCTGCCGCTGTCGCTGCCGCCGGTGGCACAGGCACAGGGCAGGCCTCCTGGTGCTTCTCTCCCCCAAGTCAGCTCAGGGCATCCCACGGGCTTTTATAGTTGTCAGAAAAGAAACTCCACGTTTCCCCCTCCCTCCACTGCTTGGTGCTAGTGCTGAGCGCAAGCTGTGTGTGAGCCAGAGGCAGGAGTTAGAAAGCGGCTCCCAGCCTGTGCATGGGAGTCACGGGGAGCTTCCGCTGAAGCGCGATTCTTGGCTGGCTGCAGAGAGACTCGGTCAGGTGGCTTTCAGCTATCAGGGCTGTTAGACGTTCCCAGGTGATTCTGCTTATTGAGCTGGAAGGTACACCAGTCACCTGAGTGGCTGGCTTGTTAGAACATGGTGTCTGGGCTGCGGCCCCCACACTCACTGAGGGTGCATCTCATATTTCTCACAAGTTCCCAGGGGAGGCCATGGCCCCAGGCTGCACAGAGTTAAGACCGCCGTGAGGCCAGCGCTCTAAGTAACAGGGCTGGCAGGTCACTGTCCTGGAAGGAGACCTGAGGTGGCCGTGACCCATTGTGCCCCTTCAGTGGTTCGCCAGTCCCGAGAACTGTGTGACCCTTTCTCTGAAGATACAGCCCACATCATGGCAACAAATGGAGCGCCATGGAACACTGGGCAGTTCCTGGAAGAAAGCCCCGTGTGGGAATGGTGCCACCGGGCTGCTGGGCACTGCTGATAAGGGACGGGGAGTCCCGCCTGCCTCCAGGGGGGGTTCGGGGGGTGCTGGTTAGACCAGCCCTCAGCCCATGTTTCCATCCCAGGAGATGCTCAGTGCACAGCCCGCCGCTGCTCTCATGCAGCAGGTGTCTGGTCGTGGAGGAGCCCCTGCGCCCACCACACCACTGCCAGTCGGGGAGGTTGGGGGGTGTGGGGGCTGAAGCTCGAGTGGCGAGCCGTGGTTCTGGGTCTGTGGGTCTCCAGGTGGCCGGGAGGCCCCGCGTCGGCATTTGTGAGACCGATGCTGATTCTGCTGCTTCCTCTCCTGTGAGGCTCAGCCCAAGGTGGGGGCTGGTCCTCGTTCGTGATGAGTGTGAGCAATGATGGGGGGGTGCCGGGGTCAGGCTGCACAGACGGGGTGCTCAGCTGCTGGGGCTCTGATTAGACAGACCGGTGCCCTCAGCCCAGTGGGCATTAGGTGCCTTGGAGGGAGGGTTTGCCCAGATGGTCAGTGGGAAAAGCTGGCGGGGGCTGCTGGTAGACCCACCAGGCTGCAGGCTCTCGGCACACGTCAGCTGTGGGGCTGGGGACCTCCCGCCGCCTCCTCACGCCTGGGCGAAGTCAGTAAAGCGACTGGCAAGTCGCAGAGGCAGGCTGGCTTGTCCTCAACTCACCCCGCCCTGTCTCTCTCCTTCACAGGGTCACAGCAAATCAATCCAGTGCCTGACGGTGCATAAAAACGGCGGCAAGTCCTACATCTATTCTGGGAGCCACGACGGGCACATTAATATCCTTTGACTCACAGCTAGCCCTGGAGCCGCTGGCAGGAGAGGTGGGGGTTCCCGTCCCCACGAGAGGCGGCCAGCCAGCTGGCAGGAGCCGCTCCGAGCAGCCGTGGCCACTGAGATGTGCCTGTGTCCGCGCTCCGGCCACGCTCCTGACCCGATGGCTCACTCCTTGCTGTGCAGCTTCGAGTGGTTCTGAACTTCTCTGATCTTCTCCCAGTAGTGACACTGATGCCTTGTCCCTCTCACAAGCAGTCGCGTTATTGAGTCATAGATTCAAATGGACTTTGAGTAGACCCCCCTTGTTTTAACAAGCTCAGATGGCTCCAGTGCCTTCCCCGAGGGCACAGTGCTTGTCGGCAGCAGGGCTGGAGCTGGCGCCCAGATCTCTTCTCCTGGTCGGGTCCTTTGCAGCCCCTCTCTGAGACGGTCCCTGGAGGCGCGTGTAGTGGCCCTTACCACCCCACCCCCATGTGTGGCCTGGGGCTAGTAACCCCCACTCCCAGGGCCATGTAGGCATTGGAGCAGGTGTGCATAGGATGCCCAGGCACCAGGCCTGGCTTCCAGGGGGGGGGGGCGTCATCAAGCTGCCTTTGTGTAAATCATTTTCTGATCTCCGTGCTGCTAAACCTTCTGGAAGGACCTGTCTGGGAACTCCCGTTCCTCACGCCTCTGCAGTCCTGAGAGAGGGGTCAGGCGTCTGCCCTGTTAAATGTGAGAAGACGTAGGGTACAGTCGGAGAGAAGGCACGAGAATCCGCTTCTCTCCTGGGGGAGTGTTCAGGTCTGCCCAGCCTGACCGCGTCCAGCTGGCCCCACGTCGCCCCCTCCTGACTCATCTCCAGCCCATGTCAGTGCCCCTGGACGTCAACCTCTGATACTCGCCATTCCCTTCAGTGGCTGGCTGGGGTCCTGTCATAGAACGCGTCAGGGGGACGCTCCCAGGCTTCCTCAAGGGCACAGTAACCTTCATAGGAAATGAGATTCTTCTGATGTAAATGCAGAATCTCATAACTTGAAACACACCTCACACCCAAGCACCTGGAGCTCAGAGTTCACAACACGGCCCTGCAAGGTGGGTCAGCCCGGGTGCTCCCTGGGGCGCCTGGGCGGCCACGGGCTTAGCAGTGGGCCACAGCCAGAGCGCCGGCAGTCACGGGCTCAGCAGCAGGTTCCAGGAAGAACACAAGGCGCGCTGGCTCAGTTACACAGCACCGTCCTTCTAAAGCCTCGGGGTGGGGGGCGCTGGTCCATCACGACCATGTCCGTGGCCTCCAGGTCGGGGTGTGGCGTGTGCAGTTCTGCGATCTGCTCCGCTGGCCTGTGTGACTGGGCACTTGGGGCTATAAACGACCCGCTGGCTTGCGCGTGCATGGGGAGCTTGTCTCAGGCCCGGTGCACACTGGCCTGCCTCTCGTGCTCCCCGGGGTGAGGGATTGGCCCTGGGCTCCCGGGGGACACCCCACATCCTGCGGAGTCCGGCTTTTCCTTGACGGCGCCCCACATTACTGGGATTCCGAGACGGGGGAGAATGACGCCTTTGCTGGGAAGGGCCACACGAATCAGGTGTCCAGGATGACCGTGGACGAGTCCGGGCAGCTGGTGAGCTGCAGCATGGACGACACGGTGCGGTACACCAGCCTCACGCTGCGGGATTACAGGTGAGTGCAGGAGGGGCAGGGGGTCGGGGTGGGGGCCTTGGCCCACCAGGGCCTGTCCCTGAGCCCTCAGCCAGGAGCTGTTAGAGTCCAGGTGACCTGCAGAGACATGACCAGGTATAGACTGGGCAGCTGGGGGGAACGTCTGTCCCGCGCCGCCTCCTCGGCTGTCCCTCATCAGTATGGCAGGTGACCAAGGAGCCGGTGAGGCCCTGAGAGGCAGCTGGCACTTGGCAGGTGCTACACAGGGACAGATAGGCACCCAAGAGATGGGAATGAAAGGTGGTGTCAAGTTTGCTTTGCTGCCACTGGCTGGCAGTCACTGGAGCCGGGGTAGTGGCTTTAACAATTAATGTGCAGCTTTCAGGTGAGGGGAAGGAGAAAGCAGTGTCCACGTACCTGCTTATGAGAGTACAGACTCGGCCTCCAGCGCCCACACCCCACACCAGCCCCTCTCGGCCTCAGTCTGGTTATCTGGACCCACTCTCCTCCCGGAGATGGCAGACGCGTGGTGTCCCTCGCACCAGACATGACACCTAACCGCAGGGAACATGCGTGCTGTGTGGGCCTCGCTTGCCTGCCGTGACTGGGCGTTGTGAGTCAGTCAAGCCTCAGGATAAGTGCGGAAGCTGCCCCAGAACTCTGGTGTCATGGCCCCAGTCCTTTCTGCTGCCTCGTGGTGGCCCCCAACATTGCCTTCCCATTGGGGGCCTGCTGCCGCCCTGAGTGTCAGCTGATGAGAAGAACCAGAGCAGAGCCACAGCCTGATCACCTTGTCACAGATGCCTGTCCACCAAGCCTTTGGGACTCCTCGCTGGGCCCAGTTACTTGGAATTTTCCAGTTTACCATTTTCAAGAGGCGTGTGTGTGTGTGTGTGTGTGCGCAAATATTTCTAGGAAGCATTTCACAGCATTAGCCAAAAGCGAAGGTGAGCGATGGCTGGCAGCCGGGAGCAGAGCGCAGTTTCGCCTGCACCCAGGAAACGCCAGGGTCTTAGGCTAACATGTGGGGACAGAAGCGGTGACTGGGCAGTCTGGAGTGGCGGGTACCTACCAGAGATAAAGAGCAACAGAACTTACTCCCTTTGCCGCCCCTTGCCACCCCTTCTCACGCCCCAGAACCCATCGTGATTTCTAACCTTCCTCCCAGAGTTTGTGAGTCGTCTTTTACCCCCTCCCGTGGTCAGCAAACTGCTCCTTCTGTTCAGGTTGCAGTAGAATTTCCTTCTGCAAGAAATTCCCGAGTGGTTGTGGGTGTAAAGCTACACTGAGCCTCTTAGTCTGGAAGTAACGTGTTTTCCCTTCTCGCTAACAGCGGACAGGGAGTCGTGAAACTGGACGTTCAACCCAAGTGCGTAGCTGTGGGCCCCGGAGGATACACGGTGGTCGTGTGCATCGGCCAGGTAGGCGGGGAGGGGCAGCTGCACGCCCGTTCCACTCCCGGCCGTGGACAGTGGACGGACAGACGTTTGTATTGAGCACTGTGTTCCGTGAGGGCCTCGCACGTTCTCTCCCCAGCTGTCCTGTCAGTTCCGCGCAGTGTGACCCCTCCTCACAGGCGAGGAGACGGAGGCACGGGGGCAAGCTGCTGGCGAGGGGCAGAGCTGGGATTGGAGCCTGGCAGCCTGGTCAGAGCCCGCACTCGAGTGTCCACCCTGTGTGTCCATCGGCCATGAGGCCTGCGGGAGGCACAGTAGGGGCGGCTCTGTCTTCACTCGTGTTCGTGTCACAGCTCACAGGGAGGATTGTGAGGAAGTACGTGTCGGGCTCCTTGTATCTTAGGAAATTTCCTTTCATTAACGAGGAGGCTGAAGTGTAGAGTGACCTGGTGACTTCCCCAAGGCCACACGATGGCAGGGGCACCAGGCCAGAGTGGAGCTGCTGTTCTCATTTGAGACGGCGGGGTCTCTCATGCCTTCTCTTCGGGAATTTCTGGGATGAAGCGCCTGGACTGAGCCCCACGCCTGACCCACTTTATGCAGGAGTCTGCTCTGCGGCAGATGCCGTCTGTCAGCAGACCTGGGCATCCCAGTGCGTGGATCAGAGGAGGCAGGTGTGACTGAGCCCCCATTGGCACGAGTGACAGATCCTGCTAAAGAAAGCCGCCGTTACGGCCCACAGCCCCTCCTCTGTTCTCTGAACTTAATTGCTTCGGGGAGAATGGATTCCCTGTGTCCTAGATAACACGAGCTTCCCGCCAGGCGGTTAGTGCAGACAGCCTGGGTGGTCAGTGGGCGTCCAGGGAGTAAGTGGCTTGGAGGCCTGAGGGGTGGGGAACACTGGGAGGCGTCCTCCAGCAGGACGGGCAGGCGGGTGCCTCTCCGAGGGGTGGGCTCTTTCCCGGCTCTGTCAGAACACCTGGCTTTGCAGGTGAGCATGGCAGCAGGCTCTGGGCACGTGGCAGGCGCTCTGTACCCCATTATCTCCTCTATATAATGGGGAGGTGATCTGCCGTCTCCTGGGGATGTAACTCATGCAACACTCGTAGCCACGTGTGTGGACATCAGCGCTGGTTCAGAGCTTGTTCCTTCCAAGTGCTTCTGTCCTCTTGAACCTCATGAGAACTCTGGTCAGCAAAGCACATTTATTGTGTGCGTTGTTGAAGCATCAGGTGGCTTCCCAAGGAGTCGGTGCTCGTAGTGGTGAGAGCAGCAAGAGCGGAGTGGTGACTGCGATACTGTGACTCAGAACTGTCACTGTCCCACTGACTGAGGAGGGAGGAAGCACAGCTCAGGGTCGTGGGGCTGAGGCTGGAGCCCCGGCCCAGGCTGAGCGACGTGCCTGCGTGTGTGTTTCCAGATCGTCCTGCTGAAAGGCCAGAAGAAGTGCTTCAGCATCGACAACCCCGGCTACGAGCCCGAAGTGGTGGCGGTGCATCCCGGCGGCGACATGGTGGCTGTGGGGGGCTCGGTAAGGCCCTTATTCTCCACGCCTTCTGCCCTGGGGCGTGTAGGCAGTTTGGGGGTGACACGAGCTGTGTGAAGGCACGGCTGCCTCAGGCAGCCCCTGGCAGTGCTCGTCCTGGCAAGTGCGACAGGGAGATGGAGACAGGGTCCCGGACAGTGAGGCGGGCTGTGCTGGGAGCTCACGGCCTGGGGCACCGAGGAAGGGACGTCCTGGGCAGCCAGGAGACTTTGAATTGTCCTTGGAATACGGACAGCTCAGCTGCCCCGGAGGGCGGGCTGGTCCCGGGTGTGCCTCCCATGGTGGCCTCGCGCAGGTGCAGGGGCGCCACCTACCCCAGGTGCCCCCCTTCCCTTCTCAGTCCAGCCCACCTGCCCCCCGTCGCCACCCTCAGCAGTTCACCCCAGCGAGCGTTAGTGTTCTCAGGGCCAGGCCCGAGGGGCTCCCTGCCCTGCAGGGGAGGTGCCCTGCTTGCGTCCACCCTGGCGAGGCTCCCTGGGCGCAGGAGGAACCATCAACATAGATGCTCAGCCCCCTCCCCGAGGCTGCAGCTGAGGAGAGCTGGGCAGAGGTTGGCCATGAGTGCCCCTGACTCGGGGACCCCTGGGGCTTGGGGACAGCCTGTGGGCAGAGTGGCACGGGCCTTCTGAAAGAGCAGGTGTACCTTCCCCAAGAAGGGGCTCTCGGGCCAGCACAAGGGTGGGAGTTTGCCAGACTGAGCCAGGTGTCTGAAGGAGCCCGCGGGGTCCTGGGGGCGGGGTACAGAGCGCAAGGGCCAGGTGCCAGGCAGGTGTTTCTCAGGGCTTGGCCTGTGAGCACCTGCACTGGAACTTTCTGGAGTATTTGTAAAGTATGCAGACCCCGAGCACCCAGACACGCCGACTCAGTCGGGGATGCCCAGGACCCCGCACTTGGCCTGCTCCCTGAGTGAGAGGGAGGGAGGGAACGGGAGAAGTGAGCGCGTGCCGGGGAGTGGCTCACTGCCCTGCGCCCCGCAGGATGGGAGCGTCCGCTTGTACTCCATCCTGGGCACCACGATGAAGGACGAGGACAAGCTGCTGGAGGCCAAGGGCCCTGTGACTGACCTGGCGTATTCCCACGACGGCGCCTTCCTCGCCGTGTGCGACGCCAGCAAGGTGGTCACAGTCTTCAGCGTGGCCGACGGCTACTCGGTAAGTGGGCAGTCAGTCCTCTGTCCCCACGCTGGGCAGGGCAGGTGGCGGGTGCGGGCCGTGGCTTTTCTCCTGTCCCAGGAGCCTGTGGTCTTGGTGAGATAGCTCACAGTGGCCAAAAAGTTCGGGACCTGGGTGGCAGCGGGGCCGGCTGTGGAGATGGGCTGACGAGCTCAGCTGGTCGGCCTGCTGAAGTGACCTGGCCTTAGACCCTCTTCTCCTGTGTCGAAGGGCTTGAGTGAGGGCTGTTGCTTGGCTCGTTGCCATTTGAAGTCCGGTACAGAGTGGCACTGACCCTCCCGACGCTGCCTTGCGCTTGGGCGGTGGCAGGTGCCGGTGAGGGGCCCCGTTGCCAAGGCGCCTGGAGGCTCGTCCTGCTCCGTGCCGGACGGGGCGTGGGGGACAGCCGAGGACAAAGGGCGAGAGGCCTGTTTCGTCACCAGAACTGAGCCCTGGGCGGCGCCTGTCCCAGTGCACAAACAAGACACTGCTTGGCGGGATTCAGGCCCTTGGTGGGTGTGAGAGCTGGTGTGACCGGCACAGGCAGCACGGGATAGTATCCCGTCTCCTGTCCCTGGGCCCTCCCCCCCACTTCCCCCTCCCCCCCAACACCTGCGGCAGTTTTAAAATCTACAGGGAGTTGAAATAATTTAGACTCTCCCATTAACATTTTACTATGTCACATTATCACCCACTCAGTAAGCTAGGTTTTTTGTGCATTTAATGTAAATTACAAGCCATCTGCACATTTTCCCCTAAATACTTCAGCTTATGAATTGTTAACTAGAGTTCACCCATTTCTTAGTTTTATCTTTTACTGTAAACTGTGCATATAATAGAAGGCAGAAGTGAATGAAAGTACAAATTTGCGGGCACTTGCCTATAACCCAAACCGCTGCCAAGATCAAGCCCCTCCCCCAGGTGCCTGTCTGTGGTACCACATTGATCCCACTTTAAGTGATTTCATTTGCATATAACAGGCCTCCTTTAAGACATTGAGTAACCCATAAGAGTAGAATCAACAGAAGATGGAATAGACAGACTTGAGAAAGAAAATTCTGGTTAAGTTGACTGTTTTAGGATTAAGAACAACATGGGAAGCCTCCCAAAGTGTTAGAAACCCCTTAGTGAGACAGTGCTTCAAGGCTGAGACTCCTAGAAGTGGCCACATGCAAAGACTGTGGCCATCCCGGGCCACCCCTGGCTCGGGAGGGGAGGGCCTCCTCCGTTTCTGTATTTCTCTCACGGGCATTTCTGTCCCCTCACTGGGGTGAGAGCTCTGAAGGTGAGCGGGAGTCATGCTGTGATTGAGGGCCGTCCGGGGGGGGGGGGGAGGGGGGGCAGTGGCTGCCTTTTAAAGTTGGGCTTCACCTTCAAGTAGCAGGCACCTCGTGGTGGTGTTACGAGGGGGCCGTGAGTTAGGAAGAGTTGTCTGTCCCCGCTGTCCCCATGAGGGTTAGATGACATGCTGCTTGGCCTCTGACCTACCACCTCTATTTTCAACCTGCACCTAGGAGAACAACGTTTTCTATGGACACCACGCGAAGATCGTCTGCCTGGCCTGGTCACCGGACAATGAGCATTTTGCCTCAGGTGGCATGGACATGATGGTGTACGTCTGGACCCTGAGCGACCCCGAGACCAGGGTCAAGATCCAAGGTGACTTGCGCACCCGCCTCGGCTACCCAGGCAGCTCCCGCAGCGCCGTTCCCAGGCACCGGCCCCAGGGCTCCGGTGCCCCTTCTGTGCCCCTGTGGAGCTGTGGCGCTCCTCCGTCAGACCCCGGGCTCTGCGGGCAGCCCGTGCCGGACACTCAGGGACCAGGTGTTCCTGGCACGATAGCAGGCGGTCTGCGTGCACCAGACGCGTGCGGAGTCACGGGGCCTCACTGGCCATCTCTTTCTGTCTTAGTCCGTTCAGGCAGCTCGAACAGAAACCCGCGGGCGGGTGGCTTAAAAGCAGCAGAGATGACTTGCTCCCAGGTCTGGAGGCTGGAACCTGAGGTCAGGGCGAGGGCCCTGTTCTGGGGTGCAGACGTCTCGCTGGGTGCCCACGCGGTGGAAGGGCTGAGGAGCTCTGGTCTCTCCTGCAAGGGCTGTTCCCAGTCACGACCTAATTCTCGCCCTGTCACCTTGGGCTAACTTAGGTTTTCACCTCACGAACTTTGGGAGACACACATTCAGACCAGCACCCCTTCCCTTCCCCGCCTCCTCAGTCCCGCACTCTGTGTGACAGCAGTGTCCAGTCGAAGCATAATAGCCTCGTGTGCACTGTACGTTTTTGTAGCAGCCACGTTTAAAAAAGAAGCTGGTGTAAGTTAGTTTTATTAGTCAGTTTAATTTAACCCAACATACTGTTAACACGTGTGGCGGTAGCTCATGTCACAGGCGCTCGTCCCACGTGGCTCGTAGCCCCAGGTGGGACTGTGCCCATCGAGGGCAGTGCCGCCAGTGTCTGCTCCCATCCCTGTCACTAGACTCGGGTCCCTCTGAGAGGATCTGAGTGCGGTCCCTCGGGGGCACTGCTGGTTTTTGACACACGTGGTCACATCTTCCTTGTCTGAGGTGTACATAGGCACAGAGAAACGGGACTTTCCTTAAAAGTATCCTTTTTTTCTTAGATGCACACAGGCTCCACCACGTCAGCAGCCTGGCTTGGCTGGACGAGCACACGCTGGTCACGACCTCCCACGACGCCTCCGTCAAAGAGTGGACAATCACCTACTGAGGACCCCCCGCCTTCGGACGGACCGAATCAGGGACTAGAGTCTAACCGCGGCAGAACGGCATTTCTCTAAATATTTCTGTACCGCCCCCGCATCCCCACCCCACTCAGGAGGGAGGTGCCCCAACTCCCGAAACCCGCGTCTCTGCAGGGTGCTGGTATCTGTACACGTCCTTCTGAAAGCTTTAGACAGTGACAGTTTGCACATAAAAACAAGGTGAGCACTTAAACTGCGGAGCATAACTCACACCCCCCGCCCAGCGCAGCCCGCGTGCGGAACATTCCAGAGGCAGAGCCTCGAAAACACACAGACCCGCTCCCGTGGCTCCTGCCGTCCCAGGAGATTGTCCCACCCCCACCTGCAGACCGCGGCTGCGCTGGGAGGAGGGTGCACCGTGCGTTCAGCCGGAGCTCTGGCACAGGTGTCACCTGGTCCCGGAGCGTGTCCCACACCGTGTGGCCACCTCCAGAAAGCTCCTCAGCAGACGGGCACACATGTGACCTTGTATTTCACTGTCAGTTTTTGTGCTTCATTTTAAAAATGGAATCGTGAGGGGTTTTTTTTGTTTTTTGTTTTTAAATTGTGTCCTAACTGTTGCCTGTCATTGTTTACAAGCTAGCGGGCCGAGGGCGCCGTGTCCAGGAATCTAGAGCCCTTGATAGCCAGACTGAGGTGTGTCTTGGTCACCATTTCACTGTCATGCTTTGATGTTTTCCCGCCTTTCTTTCCCCCTTCTGTCCCCGAGAACAAAGGTTAATTTAAAGTTAAAGATGAAGTCACTGTAAGCTGTCATCCTTTTCACCTGCCTTTTCTTTTTCAGTGCAGAAATTAAAAGTAAGTATAAAGCACGGTGATTTGGAGTTTCTTTGCGTGTGTCGGAATCACTGGTAAATGTTGGCTGAGAGCAATCCCCCTCCCTGCACTTGTGAAAACACTTTGAGCGCTTTACGAGACTAGATCGAGAGATAATTAAATATCTTTTCTCTTCATTGTGGATCACTGACTCTGTGTGGTGGGGGCATGTGGGGGGTGGGGCACACGGACCCTCGTGGCTCTGGGTGTCTCACCTGCTGCCTCAGGGAGACGGTTTGGGAACCGAAGATGTTGGATCACCTTTTGGTGAGAGCGAGTCTCCTGGATGCACCCCCATCCCGACCACCAAATCCCTGTGACTGGGGCCACCCCACCTGCCTTCATTTCTGGGCCTAAATTTCTTCATTTGTGAACTGAAAACTGGACCCTTATCCCACCAGTCCACTGAGATTTCATTATTAGCACAGCAGAGCCTGTCCTAAGCTGACTCAGAGAGAGCAAGGATGGGATGCATATTGGGGCTGTTCGCAGTGTCTACCACAGTGCGCTACTGTCCTCGTGCAAAATGGTGATAAGGTCCACATCTCTGCTGGCTGTGCATGTGAGAGGCTCCAGGTAAACCTAAGCTAGGCTGGGCCCACAGTAAACGCAGTGTCAGATGTACTGTCATTAGGATGAAAGGGCAATTAGCGATCAGTAACGTACACATAGCCAGACACAGTGCATCCAGCTAATGGTAACACAACACACTGTGCCCTGTGCCCCAGGACAAGACCAGGGCAGATCACAGGAGGAAAATTGGGCAGGTGGTCGGTCCCTCAAGCCTGGGGAAGACGCTCAGAGCCAAACAGGACTCAGGATGAGACTTCTGGAAGAGACCCGAGGCAGGGTTTAATGTCATCATTGTTCTTGCTTGGACTCCTTCCTTCTGAGGAGATGAACAGTTACAAACTCTCTTTAATGTAAAAATCTTTTTCTATTAAGACCTGGCTTTCTGAGTTTGCCCCTGTGGCTGGCCACTTACATCCATCTCTGAACCTCAGCCCTAGCTAACAGTTTGGACAGGACGGTTCTTTGTTGTGGCAGGTCCTGCAGGAGGCTTGGCAGTGTCCCTGGCCCCCACGCACGAGATGCCGGCAACACCCGCTGCCCCAGTTGTGGCAACTAAAAATATCACAGACATTGCCACTTCAGACAAAAAGGGACCCTTTTCATTTTGAAATAGCTAGAGTTCTTCTGTTGTTAGGTAGAAGTGCTTTGCAACTCCGTGATCTTCCAGCTTAATTCTCTTAAAAAGAACATAATGATAATTTGGCTTCCTCACTTTATTCATTCAGAGTCCACTCAATCGTTTTTCATTCACATTCATGTGTGAAATATTCACTGATTATCTGCTACGAGTCAGACACCTGTCTGCTTTGGGGGACACAGCTTGGAGATGAGATGTGAACTCACCGTGTTTGTAGAATGCAGGGGGAGGGTGAAACCCAGTGTTCCGCAGTCATTAGGGCAGAGGACGCGCAAGGAGCTGTGGGTCCTGAGTGAGGGATGTGAGACCCAGCCTGGCGGTGGGGTGGGGGTTATGTTCCCCCTTTGAGGGTTCATGAGCTGCTGCTATGATACGCACCTCCCACTCCTGCCTGCCTCCCTTCGCCCGTTCCTGGGCACCTGCCGTTCCGTGTTTGCTGAGGCCTCTGGTTGTAGTGCTCAGCTGAAAACAGCAGAGAGCAGCTTGTGATCACGGTTGAGCCGAGGCCGGCCAGTCTGCTGGAAACACTGGAACCGGAAAGGATCCGTGGCTCCCTGGAGACGGGCCACAGGAGCTGAGCGTGGCCAGCACACCAGGCAGGCCTTCCCAGCCTCCATCCGGCAGCGCGAAGCCGTTTCCTGGCCTGGCCTCAGAGAAGCTGGCTGCCTGTTGAAATGGCCTGTCGGCTGAAGACAGCTTCCTCAGTAACGGCCTTTGTTGTCAGCCCTCCTGGGCCCAGCAGGAAGAATGGTCTTCTGGCTTCTGCCAGCTACCTGCCTTGTTAAGGGCACAGGCAAACTGCTGTGCAATTAGCTGGTTTAAGGTAAGTGGAAGGGACGTTATCCCACAGGGAGATCTCAGACATAAATCTCTGTTACCAGCAGATGCGGTAAAAGCACTTGACATTCTACACGGAAACTATTCTAGCCCAAGGCTTGATTGATGGCACACTGACCTGGCCTCTCACTTCCCCAACCCCATCCAAGTGTCCCTGTTACTCAGCTGCTTCTTTGGGGCAAAATAAGTAAATTACAAGGATTTGTCCCAAAGAGGTGCTAATAGATAGTATTGGTTTGATTTGCCATCTCCCTCAAATCACCTAGCTGGTATCTCAATGTAAGCAAGCTCCTCCCTCCTCGTAGCCCAAGCAAAGACCAACTAAAGGGAATGGATTCGCTCATGTAATGGGGCTTTTCGCTCAGTACTGTTTCTGAAAGTATGCTCCGAGGCCACCGGCAGCAGAAACTCCTTATAAAAAATACAGGTTCCCACTGTGTGGCTGTGTCTGCTAGAATTAAACGCATATCTGCCCTGCAGCCCATAAACCCCTTCCCTACGTATATACAAGAGAACGAGGTATGTACAGGTCTGACAATTGAGTTTGCAAACTTGTTGCAACCATGTTGCTAACCTTTTTTGGTATCGGATTATTCATGAATTTGTACCAACTGGAGAAAGAATGAACCAAGGTTACTATTTGGAAGTGCTGACAAGGCTGCGTGAAAAAGTTAGATGACCTGAACTTTTCGCCAACAATTCATGGCTCTTGTATCAGGATAATGCACCAGCTCACGTGGCACTCTCTGTCTGTGAGGGAGTTTTGAGCCAGTAAACAAATAACTATTGGAACACCCTCCCTACTCACCTGGTCTGGCCCCCAATGACTTCTTTCTTGACCCAAAGATAAAGGAAATATTGAAAGGAAGAGATTTTGATGACATTCAAGACATCAAGGGGAATACAACAGCTCTGATGGCCATTCCAGAAAAAGAGCTCCAAAATTGCTTTGAAGGGTGGACCAGGCGCTGGCGTCAGTGCATAGCTTCCCAAGGGGAGGACTTCGAAGGTGACCATAGTGATATTCAGCAGTGAGGTGTGTAGCACTTTTTCTAGGATGAGTTCATGAACTTAATTGTCTGACCTCGTACTGAAAAGGTCAGGGAGCTTCAAGGAAGTTCTTAAGTCACCAGCCGTGCCTTGGAGGTAGGACCAGGAGTCCAGCCAGTGGGAACTTCATGGGCGTGACGTGAGGCTTGAATTAATGCTCCTCACAAGGGCAGTTCTGGCCCCAAGTCCCAGCGAGACCAGAGGTCGTGAGTAGCTCGCTGTCTTGTGTTTTGTGGCTGCAGTTGTACTTTAACTATGGGGAGAACCTGATAAACTCTCAGGGGACTCAGTGGGGAGAGCTAGCATGCCGGAGGCCTGGTTCTCTCTCTGGCAAGGGTAATCTTTTATACTGTTGGTGGGGATATGGAGGGGGGAACATTCTGATGCAAACTGTGTCACATTACGGACACTCATTATCTGAGACCCAATAATCCTGCTCCTGGGCACACGAGCTAAACACTCTCACAGAGGCCCACGGGGGGACACGTGTGGGGACCTTCCTGCTGTGTGGCCGATTGCTGCAAGCTGCCTGGGTCCCCATCCTTGCCAAACGCTCTACAGAGCTTGTCAGAGTTAATTTCCCATCAGTCCAGTGCAGCTGGCACTAGGTCCCCCATTTTACAGATGAATAAACTGAGGTCCGTGAGCTTAAGTATCTTAGTCAAGGTCACACAGTTCATAAGTGGCAAGGCTGATAGGCAAATCCCAGCTCTGCCAGACCTCGCTCCACCTCAGTCTATTTATCCCGGAAACCACCCGCTTCATAATGAGAAATGAGAGGACTGGAGCGAGTCCCCTCACCACTGAGGTTCCTTCCATCTTATATCCTTCCCTTCTTACTTTCTGGATGAAAGCAAGGGGAAAGATAGGTGTCACAGGAAAAAAAGGCCTGGTGGGAGTGGCGAAGAAGCTGTCAGTTTCCCTCTTAAGAGTTCTGACTTCGGTGAAGATTTTTACCCAGCCCTCCATGATGCTTCATGTAACAAAAATTCTTGAAAAGAAAAACAACGACCAACACGTTAAGCTCACGTGCCAGGCACTGTTTTAAGGATTTTACATGTCAGCGTCAGTTAATCCTCATGGCAACCCTGTGAAGCAAGTAGGATGTTTATCATCTCCACTTTAAAGATGAACAGACACCAGAGAGGTTAAGTAACTTGCCCAAGGTCACACAGCCAAATTATAAACCCAGGCTGAGTCTGGCTCCACACTTCTAGTTCTCAGAACTCTGGGAGGCCATGCAGTGAGGCGGGGCCGCTCGCGTGTCGCACGCCTGCCCTGCTCAGCACATTTCGGATGGACCGTTGACCCGCTCTTGGCCTCTGTTTCTCCTTGTAAAGTGTGGATAAAAATAGTGTTCCCCTCCTAGGGTTGTTCTGAGGTATAACATCTGCAAAGTAATCAGTAGGTTGTTGTCATTAAAGTTTTATCATAGCTGAATCACACATTGCTCCCTGTAGGGCTCGGCACTAAATGCCCCAGCGTGAACCTGGGACACTGTTTACTCCTGGGCCCTTTGGGATGGCCACAGGATCCCCCGGAAGTGGATGTTGGCCAGGGACTGGGGGTAATTGCATTTTAAGAGGAAAGAGGAGGGCGAGCTGAGACGTTGGGCCCCCACAGGGGGACAAGGTGAGCTCAACCGACTGACAAGGGGCCTGGGAATGCCAGCCAGGGGGTCTTCAAAGGCAGAGCAAATGCGAGGGTCTGGATTCTTTTTTCTTTTTAAGATTTTTATTGGGGAATGGGAACAGCGCTGGGGAATTGGGGAAGGGAAACAGACAAGTTGCTGTCGTTTTGTTCTTCAGTCTAGTTGTGGAGGACGTTGCTTCACTGGCCCAAGTTGGCACCATCATTGCGCTCTTCCCGGGCGAGGCAGATCAGTCGCCAGCTTCTGGACGGCCGCTCACTGCGGCTGCTGGCCGCTCACGCTGGCTGCTGGCTACACAAGGCAGCCCATGGCAACCCACTGCCACAGGGGCTGCAGCCTATGCCGTCGCCAGTGACTCATGGCAGCCCAGCTCCAGGTTGAGCTGTTGTTCAGC